TCCACTTGTGGCTATGAAAACTACAGAGCTCAGCACCATTCACCTTCTCCATTTCAGTGAAATGCAATGCCATAGCCTGTAGCTAGTTGGTGGTGGTTGGAGTCACTAAGAGAAGTTTTCTTTCCCCTCTCAGCTTGCTTGGGTTTGGGGAAGACAAAAAAAAAAAAAAAAAGAAACCCTAAAAACCACTGCTGTTTTTCTAACAAACTATTGTGCTTTCCCCTCTGTCTTCACAAGGTTTCTTATTCAGATGATGTTTTGGAACCCTTAATATTCTTGTTTGCTTGCATCTCTGTAATGCTTAAACATCCCCTCCAGCACTACGTGGTACTGTATGTAAAACAGAAACCAGGAACCGGCTGCATATAAATCAGGTACACAACTACAGTAATCTCAATTTATTATCTTTGCACAGACTCTATTCATCAGATTTTTTTTTTAAAGTGTCGTTTGGGTTATTTCAGCATACTAGCTTCCATACACGTGCATTTCAATTACTGCCACCTTCTATCCAAGTTTCTTTTATTTCCTAGGATGGGTAATCAAACTTAGGTGTTTCTTTGCTATCTTAACTTTTATTGAAAAAAGGGTGGTAGAGGAGTCCAAAATTTGGCTAATACTAAAGCACTGTCTGTTGGTGTCAGAGAGTTGGAATTAGAAAGGATCTGTAGAAGTAATAGGTTTTCTTCAACACCACTGAGTCAAGACAAATGGACCAGAGAGGCTAGATGTGGACAAGTGGAAAAAATAGCTGCTTCAGCAGATACCAACCAGCAGCACTTTATTTTTTATTTTTTAATTTCAACGTGCACTAAATGGACTCAATGCCTTAAAGCTATGTCTGCAGGTGCTGTAGTGAAAAGACTTGCATTGTTTTAAGGTCAGCTTATGAGGCAGATATTTACACTGGATCAAAGAACCAAAAAAGCAACATAGGAATGCAATGTGGCAGAAGTCACTACTTCAGCAAAGTTCTGCAGGAAATTGTGCTAACCCCCAGCACTTAATGTGTTCAGTGCTCAGGTTTTTCATAGCACAGGATCTACCTATTCATGATTAATGTAAACCACATCCTAACACCGAACAGAAAAAAAAAAAAAGGTAAGCTTGAAAGAAGGTACATAGAGTGTGTGTCCAGGCCTATCTTTATGTCAGAGGCTAAAGTCTTCCAGGGCTTTAGAGTGAGTTATTAATTTCCTTTCCTTCTTATTCTCAACAATTCTGCCACCACTACAGAAGGCCCCTTCACCCATAGTGCAGGAATACATGCAGATCCTGCACAGTCATCATCATCACACACAACACTAAGCCACTTGCTGTCTCCCAAGGCAAGTGCTTTTGAGAGCGCTATTGCAGAATTCCATACTTTTGGCGAATTCTAGAGTAGTGATTCAAAGAGCATTCACTGTGTGTACCTGATGAAGATTTGTAGGACCTGCAAAAAGGCATCTTCACCAGCTTGCAAACTAATGATGGCTAGGTGCAAGGGGTAGGGATCACTTCAGGCAATTGAAGACACATTGAAGGAAATTCTTGGGGTTCCTCTACATTCAAAATTCCCTGGTACAGAAGGAAGAACCAGTAAGACACAAGGAAGAAAGAAAGAGGAAACAAAGGAATAATTCCTTATATAAAGCATTCAAGAGATGACTCACAATTGCTAGACATCTCTCTACGCTTCTCGGAGCTGTGCTCTGGCCCACAACCGCAGACAATACTGAAAATGCCCAGTCAATATCAGTGTAGCAGTATTAACCCTACCCAAGCACTAAGTTTAAAGAAATACAGTGCATACATTTAGAATGACTGTAGAGACTTAACAGAAAAATACTTTCGAAGAACAGATACTGGCTGTATTTTTCCTACAGGATTTGCACCAGCATTCAACAGATCTACTCAAAGACCCCTTCTATTGGAGAATTATTGGAGAATTTCAAACTCTATTCCCAGCCCCACTTAGGATTTACCTTCCCTACCCCCCAAAAAAATAAAAAGGCTAAGTTACAGACATGCAGGTGTAAACACATTACCAAAGTGCAAGATGGGGATCTTAGCAGACAGCAAGCGTCTTAGTATGAATGCATGCTGGGGAGTTTTATGAGCAAGATGGTGCTTCCCATTACAACACAACACAGTTAAAAGTAGGACCTCCCTAAAACCCTGACTTTTAACTGCTATATACACCTGTCCCTCGGGAGCCAAGTAGATGTGCTAAGGCTCACAACAAGAATTCTTAAACGTATTCCTGATTCCTTAGCCACACAGACTATCCTACTGAAATGGGCTTTCACTGAAACTAGGACTGGTTCTGTGAAGCATCTGTAGGTAACGCATACCTTCAAGATTACCCCCACAGCTGGGAACTCCAGTTCACTACTCCCATCTGTGATAACATAATAAGCAACAGAAAATCCCTTCTGAAAAGGAATTTTTAAATATATGTATGTTATTTAAACATATGTATGTTATGAAAAGCAGGACAAAGATCCCTGTAACATCTTTCCAACATTTTTCCATTCAGCCCTTTGTCCAGATCTCTCTGCAAAGCCTTTCCACCCTCAACAAAGTCTACAACTCCTCCATGTTTGGTGTCATTGGCAAACTTGCTCAAAACACCTTCTAGTGCTACATCCAAATCATTTATAAAAACATTGAAAAGGACTGGCTCTAAAATGGAGCCTTGGGGGATCCCACTAGTGACCATCCACCAGCCTGATGTGGCCCCACTTATCACAACCCTTTGAGCCCTGAGAATAGACTCCTTCCCCCTACAGTCCAAACTCAGTGCTTTGTTAACAGGTCATCTTCCTGACCTGGATAATAGTGTATAATCTCCTTTGTAGCACACTGTTAAACACGAGATTTTTTTCTCTGTAATTGCCTTTTCTGAACACCTGACAAATACTGGCCAGGTGGATAGCATTTGCTGCTCAGTCAGGAGTATTTTTTAGATTCATACTGATGTTAACATTCAAACATGTGCAAACATCATCCAAGAACTACAAAAGGAAGCAGAGACACTGTGGAGCACTCAAAAAGGTGGGGGAGCTCAAAAAGGTGAGAGTGCTGCCTGCAAAGACCAACAAAGGGCATTAAGAGGCTAACAGAACGTGAAGGCCAAGTCTGATCGTTTTTGCACTTACCCGGTGAGGCGGGGGGGGCGAGCCCCGAGGGGCTCTCGCTTCTGGCGCCAAGCGCCCGGGCGCGACCCGCTCCAGGGACAGCGTCAGGTGGGGAGTTTGACTGGGGCGATACACCTGTCAAAGCGTAACGCAGGTGTCCTAAGGCGAGCTCAGGGAGGCCAGAAACCTCCCGTGGAGCAGAAGGGCAAAAGCTCGCTTGTTAGACTCTGAGACTGAAGTTTTGAGGGACTGAAGTGTTGAGTAACATTTAGATTGATTATTATGCTATGAACATAAGGGAAATGGTAGTCTTATCAATAAATTAATAATTCAACAACATAGTGCACACCGTTCACCAGTCCATATTTACCTCCTTGCTCATTCATCCCAAGTAATATTTAAAAGACCTTCATTTGTGCATAGGCAGGAATGCAGTTTAAGCTTACAAATCCTGCTCCAGTTCTGGAAAAACCCCTCTGCTAAGCAGAGCCCCCTACAGCTGCACTTTGCAGACAAGCTTCTGACAGCATGGGGAAACTAGTCCCAGGAAGACTACACACAAAAGCTAGGAAATCTAGGATAAGCCCCAGCCACACAGCAGCAGCAAAGGTGCAGATGCAGATGCCCAATGCATGACACAGGCAGGGCAGAAGACAAACCTGCAGCACCCACAGACACACCCATGGGTGAAGAAACAGCAGGAGGCAACAGGCTCTCCTTGGTAGTGATGCACTCTGAATGCTCCTTCTCAGAGAGATCTCCCTTCTGTGTACTCACATAAATACCACTCAATTTGACAACCTGATTTTTTATTGTAGGCAGACCAGGATTAGGAATCAGGGCCCTAACTTTTAGTCCCTTTCTGTAGACAACAGATCACTTCACAGAAAGCAGTTAATAGGCAGGTGTGTTATTGAAGCTATCTAGATCCCTACTTGAAAAACCTTAAGCTTGTTTTATCATGTTGTTCCTGGTAGTGTTACATTTATATAGATTAATATTTGCAATCCTTGATACAAAACCTTCATGCTTGTAGTATTACATGGAGATATGACAAAAATAGATACTATGGATTATGCTACATTTTTTTCATTAATGCAATGGAAAAACAAAAGAAGTGATAAGAACTACAAATTGATCTTTTCCATTCTTTACAGCACTAATCGACAGAAAAATAAAAATACTCCTGGCTGTTAAAGCACTGAACTGTTGTAGGAATTGCATCTAAATAGTACTGTCATTCTGTACACTTCAAGCCACAAAACCCACAACCGGTATGAAACTAACTCTGTTCCATTCCTTACATTCAAGACCAGGCTCTGAGGTAACTAATACTTCATAATAAACTAGTCACAGATCATTTTCCAAGGTCTGCATAAGGATGATGTAAAGAATAAAAAGATCCAGGGTCAGAACAGAAAATGAAGTGTTTCAAGTACTGCACACGCAGCTCCCAGCTATAAGACGTAGCATTTGAGGTAAGAATTTCAGACTAGGAGCTCTGTGACTCAAGTGAACCGCACAGGAGTGGTTTGAAAGCTCCTGTGGCAGTCAGCTATTCAAACACATAGCAGAGGTTTTGATAATGTAGTGGTGATCCTTTCTACTCTCTCCTCAGGTGAGGGTAGCAGTCTGCATTAACTGAGAAGAAAACAGTCAGGTTTTTGCACTGGCTATCTCTGAAGAGGGTGGCACCTCAGAGGACCTCGCAGCCTATTGCAACTATTTTGTTTTGCTTCACTTTGCACAAGTCTTCAGAACAAAATAAATGAGACATCAACAAGAACTCCTTGTCCATAGAGACTTTACAACCTCATTTCTCACTTTTAATCAGTCTTCCTCCTCCACTTGCTCCCTCTGAAACAAATACAGGAAGGATTTAATCTTAAAGAACCATTTTAATAACATGAGACAGAAATTGAAAGGGAACAACCACAGATTATGAAAATACTTGATTCTGTCATTTTAATATTTTGTTTAAATCTCAACAAAGAGTTTGCATGATTGACACCAAAATCCTAAGAATCAAAAAGAAGATTCAGCCTGCTGTAGAAAGTCAGCTTTTCCAACAATTACTGTATCTTTGCAAATACCAGGCCCTTAGATTATCTATTTACCAGATTAGATTATCAATTTACTAGAAAAAAACATAAGGCATGACTTAAATTAAAAACATTGAATTCTCTTTTATTCAAAACCTTCTACTTTGAAGGTTATGGCCTATGAAGAAGAGGCATGACAGACCCATTTAAAAAAAAAAAAAAAACATTTAAAAGGAAAAATGGCTTATTTTAAGACCGTATTCTGCAGGCAAGTTAATCAGAGTCTATGGTCCAACCAAGCTTAAATTTCACTAAAGTTCTTGTAATTGCCAATTTAATTTAAGTCTCTGGAGATAGTAGAAATGAAGCAGTCAAATGGCTTTCAAAGACAGGATAGAAGCAGACTACAAGATTACTCTCCACTGTCCACATTACTGCCGTTTGGATCAGCTTGCATGAGTGCTCTCTTCCACATTTGTCACTGCTCCCATAAGAAACCAAATGGATTTTTTCAGAGGTCATTTGCACGGAGGTGAAAAAAGCAGGTCTATTCAACATTGGCAGTCAGTGCAGAATAAAATGATACTGGATACTAAACAGGTAATAAAAATCAGCTGAAAGTTGTCTAGCCCATTGGCAGCACTGACCTACCGGCCTTTGTGAGTAACCAGCAGGCTCGTGGGACTGTGCAGCCCTTTTGTAGGCTTCTCTCCAGTTGCAAAAGGTGGTTAAAAAAAAGCAGAAGGTTCCTGTAATGCAAACAGCCTACAGGAATGCATTTTTAGTACACTTTGATGCTAAAATTATCTTCTAGATGAGTTCAGTTTCACAGTTCAAGGTAAATTCTAAAGCTACAACTTTTCTTCTTCAAGAGAATTTCAGTATTTAACTCTGGCCAGCCTGACAAAAAAAATGAATTTAAGAAGCTGTCTCTGCTAAACAACTTACTGATTTACACTGACTCTTTAAAAAACGAAAATATGTTTAAAGGGAAAAAGAAGCAAATTGGGGGGGGAAGATATGGAAACACTCATATCATTATAGATAGCTCAGCCACATGTCTCTAAAAAAGAGTGGAGGGGGAACATTTTCATACAGTGTAGTTGCATTGATAACCGGTTTGTCTACAAATTCTATCTCGCATGCCTGGGTGCTACAGGGAGAATGCTCCAGTTCCAATACTGTTATGTTATTTGGCACTGATGAAACAAGTATATTCCTTGGAACAAAAAGGGTCAACTGAGGACCACGGGCTGGCCAGTAGCGACCGAGATTAAAGCCATTGATCCAAATTTGCCCCTGTTAAAAGAAAGAGAAAACATAAAGAAGTTTTAATAATTTGACAAGAGGTCAAACATCTAAATAACTTTAAGCATAACACATTTCACACAGTAACTGCATTTTCTTTATATTTCAGTTTGATAGAACACAAGGACTGATAATCTGTTGAAGAAATTGCTACAAATAGTCAAAAGAATCTAAATTCCCTGATGAGCTGATATTTAAAAACAAAGTGGTCAGATACTGCAGTCATGCCAAATATGACAATACTTCAGAAAACAGAATTGCAGGTTCCTGACACTGAATTTTGTGCCAAGTTTCAGACCAAAGCAAATCCTGAAAATTGTATTTACTTGAAGCTGATTGTTAAAAGGAGAAAGAACTCACAAAACAAAGCAGATCCTAATTCTGTTAATTGTTCTCTACAAAAGTGTAATACTATGCTATCTTCACACTGCTTCCTGTTCTATGATTTCAAGAAGATATACAGCTTGTCTAGACACATGACATTCAGATGTCTATTACACTTGCAATAGTTTAGTCAGCAAAATAAATTGTGAAATGATACTGCAAGAGCACTGTATTTTGTTTTAGTTAGTTACAACAGTGAATCTTTGATGTTTTGCTATTATTAATGTAAATTCAATGACATCGTAGTTAATTTATCACACAAACTCTTCAAATTGCTTTCATAATGGAGGTGGCCAGAACAAATGCCTGGCATAGAAGGACCTGGGAATATTGTTGATAGTCGGCTGAATATGAGCCAGCAGTGTGCTCAGGTGGCCAAGAAGGCCAACAGCATCCTGGCTTGTATAAGAAGCAGTGTGGCCAGCAGGACTAGGAAAGTGATTAGGTCCCCCTGTACTACTTGGCTCTGGTGAGGCTGCACCTTGAGTGCTGTGTTCAGTTTTGGACCCCTCACTACAAGAAGGACATCGAGGTGCTCAAGCGAGAAAGGCAACGAAGGCAACGAAGCTGGTGAGGGGTCTGGAGAACAAGTCTTACGAGGAGCAGCTGAGGGAGCTGGGCTTGTTCAGCCTGGAGAAGAGGAGGCTCAGGGGCGACCTTATTGTTCTCTACAGGTACCTTAAAGAAGGCTGTAGCGAGATGGGGATTGGTCTATTCTCCCACATGCCTGGTGAAAGCACAAGGGGGAATGGACTAAAGTTGCACCGGGGGTGTTTTAGGTTGGATACTAGGAAGAACTTCTTTACTGAGAGGGTTGTGAGGCATTGGAATGGGCTGCCTAGGGTGGAGTCACAATCCCTGGAGGCCTTTAAAAGAGGTTTTAAAAAGTTGTTTTAGATGTTGAACTTAGGGATATGGTTTAGTGGAGGACTTGTTAGTGTTAGGTCAGAGGTTGGACTTGATGATTTTGAGGTCTCTTCCAACCTAGACAATTCTGTGATTCTGATTCTGTGAAAATACTTTTCTAATATTACAAATATTCCCAGTTAAAAATAGAAAATAAAATTAGGCAAGTAAAAAGGAAATAAACTAAGTCATTAAGTCATTAAACTAAGTCATCAGGCCTGTCAGTTTGACCTCAGTACCAGGGAAGCTCATGGAGCAGATCCTCTTGGGAGTCATCATGCGGCACTTGAAGGGCAAGCAGGCAATCAGGCCCAGTCAGCATGGGTTTATGGAAGGCAGATCCTGCTTGACGAACCTGATCTCCTTCTATGACAAAGTGACGCGCTGGGTGGACGAGGGAAAGGCTGTGGATGTGGTCTACCTTGACTTCAGCAAGGCTTTTGACACCGTCTCCCACAGCATTCTCCTCAAGAAACTGGCTGCTCTTGGCTTGGACTGGTGCACGCTTCGTTGGGTTAGAAACTGGCTGGATAGCCGGGCCCAAAGAGTCGTGGTAAATGGAGCCAAGTCCAGTTTGGAGGCCGGTCACTAGTGGCGTCCCCCAGGGCTCGGTGCTGGGGCCGGTCCTCTTTAATATCTTCATCAATGATCTGGACGAGGGCATTGAGTGCACCCTCAGTAAGTTCGCAGATGACACCAAGTTAGGTGCGTGTGTCGATCTGCTCGAGGGTAGGAAGGCTCTGCAGGAGGATCTGGATAGGCTGCACCGATGGGCTGAGGTCAACTGCATGAAGTTCAACAAGGCCAAGTGCCAGGTCCTGCACCTGGGGCGCAACAACCCCAAGCAGAGCTACAGGCTGGGAGATGAGTGGTTGGAGAGCTGCCTGGCAGAGAAGGACCTGGGAGTGATGGTGGATAGTCGGCTGAATATGAGGCAGCAGTGTGCTCAGGTGGCCAAGAAGGCCAACAGCATCCTGGCTTGTATCAGAAACAGTGTGACCAGCAGGGCTAGGGAGGTGATCGTCCCCCTGTACTCGGCTCTGGTGAGGCCGCACCTCGAGTACTGTGTTCAGTTTTGGGCCCCTCGCTACAAGAAGGACATCGAGGTGCTTGAGCGGGTCCAGAGAAGGGTGACGAAGCTGGTGAGGGGCCTGGAGAACAAGTCCTACAAGGAGCGGCTAAAGGAGCTTGGCTTGTTCAGCCTGGAGAAGAGGAGGCTCAGGGGCGACCTTATCACTCTCTACAGATACCTTAAAGGAGGCTGTAGCGAGGTGGGGGTTGGCCTGTTCTCCCACGTGCCTGGTGACAGGACGAGGGGGAATGGGCTAAAGTTGCGCCAGGGGAGTTTTAGGTTAGATGTTAGGAAGAACTTCTTTACTGAAAGGGTTCTGAGGCACTGGAACAGGCTGCCCAGGGAGGTGGTGGAGTCACCATCCCTGGAAGTCTTCAAAAGACGTTTACACGTAGAGCTTAGGGATATGGTTTAGTGGGGACTGTTAGTGTTAGGTTAGAGGTTGGACTCGATGATCTTGAGGTCTCTTCCAACCTAGAAATTCTGTGATTCTGTGATTTATACACCAGAAAATAGAGACATTGGAGTGAAACAAGTGCAGGTGTTTCCAAAAGTCTTTAAATTGATGAGCTGCCAAATGTTCAGCAGAATTATAAAGGGATTCCTGAATTGTACGGAATCTTGATTCATTAAACAAGACATAATCTGATTTGGACAAACCACTTGATTTTTTTCCTCTTAAGCATCCTTTTTACCATGTCAGACAATTGACTGGCAAGCAAGGAAGAGGATGGGAACAGATAACTTCATCTGTTTTCCCTCTTGCTGTGGCCTCTGGTAATCAGAATGTAGAGGAAAAGCAAACTCACCTGTAGCATGGATGTAAATTGATAAAAATAATAAAATCATCTGAGTCACTGGAAAGTAAGGACTCATTGCACTCTTGATTTTTAACATCTTGAGGGAAAACTAAAAATCAAATAATACTCATAAAAGATTTATAAAAGCACAACTGTAGTATACTAAATATTACTGTTCCAGGTGTTTTGGAGGTAATTCTTTTTTCAAGCATTTATGAAAATTATTTTTATGAAACTTGTGAAAGAAGTTTCATAAGGAGATTGTATAGTTGCAAATGCAGATGAGTTATTTTGTCTCTGTATCCACTATCTCAGTATAAGATCCTATCTTTTACAGTGCCAAGATGTTAATAAAATTTGACTTTAAACTTTTTTTTAGTATTTAAATCAAGTTCATCTCACTTTGTGGTTTGTTTCTGCTGTATAAAAGGACAAGAGAAGAACTACATGTATTTATTCAAGCTCTTCACTTTGCTTCTATACTACTTTTAGAAGAGAATATAGCATTAATGCAAGCTATCCCCTCACAAGATGCATTTGCAGATGTACCCACTACACAGTAGACTTGCTACTATACAGGGTGACTGGAACCCTCTGGGAAGTAGGAGTATAGTGTAGGAATCAGACAAACTAGAGTTCATTAGTTCATGATGATCTTGAGGTCTCTTCCAACCTAGAAATTCTGTGATTCTGTGATAGAGTTCAGAGACCATTCCCCCTTGTCCTATCACTATCTACATGATTAGAAACAGGTCTGTTTCTAATCTTAATCTATCTCTGGTTATAAGTCAGTTTTCCGAGAAAACTATGATTTTCATTTCTCATTTCCAAACTGCCATTTGGAACATTATATTAATACTGCAATTTCTGAAGACTGCATATTCAGGAGTTTGTACATCTCAAAATACGAAAACACAGCATCATACATGCTGCCAACAAACATACCTTTGAAAAAAAAAAAAAAAAAAAAAAGAAGAGATAGGGAATAGATCTCTATCTTCAGAAAGATTTCCTTTATCAGGGTCAGCAGCTATAACCCACAATTCCACAGAAATAAAGAACAATCCTGACTCCAAATTAAATAAATAAATAAATAAAAATAAATCTGATCATACATCCAGAAGGACATACTCTTAAGTGCAACCATGCTTCATTAAGTGAAGGTGGGGGAAATTTTGTTAATAGCAAAGCTTTTAAAAACCACAGAAGGCAACTGAGCTACAACCATAGGTCATGACTGTTAATGCCACATCCTTCTTCTGGGCTGTCCGGCATGTCAAATTCTTTGTCTTAATATGGAAAGGCAAGATAATCATTAAAACTGCACATTTTCTTAAGAGTTGTTTGCACAGTTTTTCAAATACCCAAACACCTTTAGCTCCTTCTACTATTAGAAGTCCCTCTCCACACTTTGTCATCAGCAATTTATACAGCTGTGCCTCAAGGAACTAAGGCCCAGATCCAATAGGATTTGAGTAGAATTCAAACTCTTACAGCCCTCTACCTTATAGGCACTGATCATTGGTAAAGCTATCTAGAAGTCTGAGATTCTGCCTTTCTTCTCCCCACACCGTTTTACTCCTTAATTACTTATCTTATTACTCCCCACACCCAGTTTTACTCCTTAAATACTTATCTTATTACTCTTATTAATTATTAATCTTATTAAGTAATCTTATTACTCCTGGGTATCTTATTAAAAACTTTGGTCCAATCTCTATAAAGATGAAGGATTAATCCAATAACCATATTTACAGTTTCCCTGGGTTCTCTTCACTTTGACCTCTTTAGATAGTATACAGACCATATAAAACAAATTTCTATGTCCAATAGGTCAGGGAAAAAGATTCCCACTGAAACTTAAGAATTCTTAAGAATGGACTCATTTGCCATTTCAAAGAGAGGAAGATGGTTTGTGATTCATTGGGTTGCAGAATTTACCGGAAAAGTCCCAGATTCCAGTTCCTGTGCAAATAGCTATTGTTGGATTTTATTCTGTGATTGTGTAAGATATGTATATATATAGGAACAGGGACTAAGAGACTTCCTCATCCAAGCTCAGTGCCTGCAACATTAAATGTCTGCAATGAATCAGTCTTCTGCATATTGTGAAGTGCTTTAACCACTGCAACGCTGTAGATAGATCACGAGCACCTCCATCTCCTACTCTGTTTTAATAACAGTAAGTAAACTGCTTCAGAAAGGATTAACTTCACTACGATTAACTTTGCTACCTAACACCAGCACTCCTGAAGCCTAGAGTTGAATGCTTAGGCCTCTTAGAGGAGTGGCACTTCAGTGCACACATTCTGCTGTCTGTGCCTCCCACCAGCTACATACTCATCTTGTATGCTGTTTCAACCACGGCAATGTGAAAACATACTCTTTTCTGTTCTAGTTTTTCTCCAGCCCTATCAGAAGTTCCCTTTCAAGTCTGCACACAAACTTCTCATTGCAGTGCTCTCTGATCATAGAATGACTTGGGTTGGAAGGGACCTTAAAGGTCACCCAGTTCCAACTCCCCTGCCACAGGCAGGGATGCCACCATGATCTAGACCAGGCTACCCAAAGCCCCATCCAACTTGGCCTTGAACACTTCCAGGGATGGGGCATCCACAGCTTCTCTGGGCAGCCTGTTCTGGTACGTCACCACCTGCAAGTGAAGAATTTCCTCCTTATGTCTAGTCAAAATGTATCCTCTTTTAGTTTAAGACCATTCCCCCTTGTCCTATTACTATCTAAATGGGTTAAAAGTCACTATCTTTTTTATAAGACCCCTTTCAATATTACCAAAAAGCTGCAATGAAGTCTCCACATAGCCTTCTCTTCTCCAGGCTGAACATCCGCAGCCCTCTCAGCTTTTCTTCATAGAAGAGGTGCTCCCTCTGAGCATCTTTGTGGCCCTCCTCTGGACCCACTCTAACAGATCCACATCCTTTTCGTGCTGGAGGCCCCAAACCTGGACACGACACTCCAGGTGGGGCATCACAAGGGCAGAGCAGAAGGACATAGTCCCCTCCCTTGCCCTGCTGGCCACCCCTCTGTGGCCACCCCTCAGCCCAGGACGCAGTTGGCCTTCTGCGCTGCAAGCATGCACTGCTGGCTTTTTTCATCCACCAGAACCCCCAAGTCCTTCTCTGCAGGGCTGCTCTCAATGAGTTCTTCTCCCAGTCTGTCCTCATGTCTGGGATTGCCCCAACCCAGGTGCATCACCTTGCACCTGGACTGGTTGAACCTGATTAGGTTCACATGAGCCCACTTCTCAAGCTTGTCCAGGCCCCTTTGGATTGCATCCCTTCCTTCTGGTATATCAACTGCACCACTCAGCTTGGTGTCATCTGCAAACTTGCTTAGGATGCACTCAATCCCACTGTCTATGTCACTGGTAATGATATTAAACAGCACCAGTCCCAAGACAGACCCCTGAGGGACACCACTTACCACTGGGCTCTACCTCAACATAGCAGCAACTGGCAGCAACTCTCTGGCTGCAGCTCTCCTGCCAATTCCTTATCCACTGAATGGCCCACCCTTCAAATCCATCTTTTTCCAGTCTGGAGATCAGGACATTGCATGGGACCCTGCCAAAGGCCTTACAGAAGAGTCCAGGTAGATGTCATTGGTTGGTCTTCCCTTGTCAGCTGATACAGTCAATCCTTCATAGAAGGCCATGAGATTGGTCAGTCACAACTTGATCTGCTCAGTCCAGTTACAGGTAAACTCCAGAAGACAGACGTTGACAGCTCAAAGAAAGCAGTCTAGGAGGTTTCTAGAGAGCATGAAAGATAGTTTTCTGACACAGCTGGTTAGTGAGCCTACTATGGAGGTGCCCCACTGGACCTTCTGTTTACAGAGGAGTGGTGGGAGATATGGTGGTTGGGAGCTGTCTTGGGCAGAGCAACCACACAATGGTAGAGTTCTCTATCCTTGGCGAAGTCAGGAGGGAGACCAGTAAAACCACAGTCCTGGACTTCTGGAGGGCGGACTTTGAGCTGTTCAGGACACTGGTTGGCAGAGTCCCTTGGGAGTCAGTTCTGAAGGGCGGAGGAGTCCAGGAAGGCTGGGCACTCCTCAAGAAGGAAATCTTAATGGCTCAGGAGCGGTCTGTCCCCACATGCCAAAAGACAAGCTGGCGGGGAAGAAGACTGGCCTGGCTGAACGGAGAGTTGTGGCTAGAGCTTAGGGGAGAAAAAAGAGAATTTATGATCTTTGGAAAAGAGGGCGGGCCACTCAGGATTATAAGGGTGTTGTAAGGATGTGTAGGGACAAAATTAGAAAGGCCAAAACTCATCTGGAGCTCAATCTGGCTACTGCTGTTAAAGATAACAGAAAATATTTTTATAAATACATTAACACAAAAAGAAGGACTAAGGAGAATCTCCATCCTTTATCCAGTAAAGGGGTGAAACTTACTGACGAAAGATGACGAAAAGGCTGAGGTGCTTAATGCCTTCTTTGCCTCAGTCTTTAGCGGCAAGATCAGTTGTTCTCTGGATACCCAGTACCCTGAGCTGGTCGAAGGGGATGGGGAGCAGGATGTGGCCCTCACCATCCTCGAGGAAATGGTTGGCGACCTGCTACAGCACTTGAATGTACGCAAGTCGATGGGGCCAGATGGGATCCACCCAAGGGTGCTGAGAGAACTGGCACAAGAACTGGCCAAGGCGCTTTCCATCATTTATCAACAGTCCTGGCTATCAGGGGAGGTCCCAGTCAACAGGCAGCTAGAAAACATGATGCCTATCTACAAGAAGGGTCAGAAGGTAGACCTGGGGAACTCTAGGCCTGTTAATTTGACCTCAGTGCCAGGGAAGCTCATGGAGCAGATTATCTTGAGTGTTATCACGCAGGACAACCAGGCAATCAGGCCCAGTCAGCATGGATTTATGAAAGGCAGGCCCTGCTTGATGAACCTGATCTCCTTTTATGACAAAGTGATGCGCTTAGTGGATGAGGGAAAGGCTGTGGATGGTATTGGTCTTGTGGATGGTATTGAAGTCAAGGCTACCTTGACTTAAGTAAGGCTTTTGACACCGTTTCCCACAACATTCTCCTCAAGAAACTGGCTGCTTTTGGCTTGGACTGGAGTACGCTTCATTGAGTTAGAAACTGGCTGGGTAACCGGGACCAAAGAGTCATGGTGAATGGAGTCAAATCCAGTCTGAGGCCGGTCACTAGTAGAGTCCCCCAGGGCTCAGTACTAGGGCCAGTTCTCTTTAATATCTTGATCAGTAATCTGGATGAGCGGATCGAGTGCACCCTCAGGAAGTTTGCAGACGACACCAAGTTAGGCGTGTGTGTCGATGTACTCGAGGGTAGGAAGGCTCTGCAGGAGGATCTGGATAGGCTGCACCAATGGGCTGAGGACAACTGTATGAAGTTCAACAAGGCCAAGTGCCGGGTCCTGCACCTGGGGCCCAACAACCCCAAGCAGCGCTACATGCTGGGAGATGAATGGTTGGAAAGCTGCCAGGCATAGAAGGACCTGGGAGTATTGGTTGATAGTCAGCTGAATAGGAGCCAGCAGTGTGCTCAGGTGGCCAAGAAGGCCAACAGCATCCTGGCTTGTATAAGAAGCAGTGTGGCCAGCAGGACTAGGAAAGTGATTAGGTCCCCCTGTACTACTTGGCTCTGGTGAGGCCGCACCTCGAGTACTGTGTTCAGTTTTGGGCCCCTCGCTACAAGAAGGACATGGAGATGCTCGAGTGAGTCCAGAGAAAGGCAACGAAGCTGGTGAGGGGTCTGGAGAACAAGTCTTACGAGGAGCAGCTGAGGGAGCTGGGCTTGTTCAGCCTGGAGAAGAGGAGGCTCAGGGGCGACCTTATTGCTCTCAGGTACCTATTGCTTACAGGTACCTTACAGGTACCTTAAAGAAGGCTGTAGTGAGATGGGGATTGGCCTGTTCTCCCACGTGCCTGGTGATAGGATAAGGGGGAATGGGCTAAAGTTGGGCCAGGGGAGGTTGAATATTAGGAAGAACTTCTTTACTGAGAGGGTTGTTAGGCATTGGAATGGGCTGCCCAGGGAAGTGGTTGAGTCACCATCCTTGGAGGTCTTTAAAAGACGTTTAGATGTATAGCTTAGTGATATGGTTTAGTGGAGGACTTGTTAGCATTACGTCAGAGGTTGGACTAGGTGATCTTGGAGGTCTCTTCCAACCTAGATGATTCTGTGATTCTGTAAAATTGAGTGTATCCATACTTATGGGCATGCTACTAGCAGTGTCCAACTCTGCCTGTGCTTTGTAACAGGATCCATATTTCTCACACAGCAACAAAAATATGCTATTAGTTACTTTTAATTAATCAGTGTAACCAGAGAAGTGTCCTGTAGCATCTCACTTTCTCCAGAATAAGAACTGTTTAATCTCAAGGTATGTAATTCATTCTATGCCTCCAAAAAGCTGTTTATACAACACATTGAGACAAAAAAAAACCCAAAACACAACCACTAAATGCAGCATTTCTATGAAGTCTGACAGTTGATCTTTCTCACTCTAGGAAAAACTACAGGGTTTTTATGTGATTCTCCCCTTCCTAGACCAATACCATGTGCTTTTTAATGATAAGTTTCCCTCTTCTTAATGGTTTATCTCCAAATTTACTTGTACCAAGGAATACATTTCCTAGTCATTTAAATGTATATGACACACCCCACCATCATAACCTCCTTCTATCCAGCCAAAGAGAGGTGGATTTTGACCTTCCGTAGAACTTTCAGTATCTCTCTGAGTGGACTTCAAGTTTTTACAGCAAAAATTTGTACCTTTGTCCAGCCAGGAAAGTTAACATAGGTATCTTGTGGCAAGTCTGGAATCCCGCCAGGAATTAAAAGTCTACCAGTGTAAAAGGTAGGTGTTTCATAACTTAGTGGATTGCCAACATATCTCTCTGGTTGGTCAGGGTAGCCATGAATGGAATGGTTCACTGCTCCATCTATGTCTAGAGGATAGATTTCCCATTCAACAAGTATGTCTTGATCGAGAGTTAAATTTGAAACTAGACCCTAGGAGGAAAAAAAAAAAAAAGCAACATAATTAGCTTCATGTTATTGAAATTATTAGCTGCAACCATAAATCAGTCAGGACTAGAAGCATGTTTGAATCAAAGTACTTCCAACAGCTGCCAATCTGTATGGAAAAACAAGCATCTGGTTTTCACCAAGTTATAAGCTTTGCTCAATAATAAAACATTTTATTTATTCTCTAGGAAAGTGTTGTACTTCTTCAAAGTTTTACGCATTCATCAATGCCATTTTTCCTTTTCAAGTTTTTTTTTTAATTAAAATTTCTGTTTTGCTTTAACATGAACATGATTCAAAAACATGGGGTTTAATAAATAGCAGAAAAAGCATTAAATAGCTTGTTTTGAGATACCATCAAGAGATTTGGTAACATTGAGTCACTAAACCAAGACATTAACCTGCACAATAGCAGAGAAAGCAGTATTCACTTCCTACAAGTCTTCTACAGCTAACATATAGTATCACAAAACCAACGCGCATGCTTCATGACCCCAATTCAGTGAAATAATTTAAGCTTACAGTCAACTTCAAGCCCACAGAGTCCTGTTTCAGTTCTATGGAACTATGTGTACCCTTGAAGAACACCAAGGTACTCACACAGTGAGTACAAACGCAAAGTAAGATCATGATTTAAGAGAAGTGAAAGGAACATAAAGTTTCTCCTGAACTCAATTCCTAACTGTGTTACAGTAATGGTTTCTAAAATTGTGTTTCAGTGCAATGCAAGGAATTGACTTTAAACCAACACTGCTACATCCATATAACCTCCGGAGTAGGCCCTGTGTAATAGCTGTTTTTAAGTGCAACTTCTGTTGCAAATACCACAAGTTAAACAGGAAAAAGAAGTTCTAAAATCAAAGTCACAAGCAAAGCCACATTTTCTATGGCTATGGAGGGCTTATAGTAAATAGTATATCTGTTCTGATACCTAATAAGCATTACACTGACTCCACAAGCCTAGTCATCAGTAGGTGCACTAATATGTTCTCTATTCCTTTACCTAGATGACCACTTCATAACTTATTTTTCTGATATCAAAATAAATTATCTGCACAGAGTTAAACAGCAAAACTTCTCTTCAACCTAGACTTTACTTTGTCTGACAATCAGTTGAAGTATTGCAGCATAGCTTTGGCCAAAACTTTCCAACCTGCTTCCCTAAACCCATCTTTAAGTGTTATGTACGGTGTGATTTTTGAATGAAATGAAGTGCCTACAAGCGCTCTTATTTTGGTATGCATAAAAATGCATATGCAATAGTCCAGATATGGACATGAATTTGCCAAGTAAAACAAAGATATAGGTGTTAGTGAGCATGTTAAAAAAAAAAAAAAAAGAAACTACACTCTTCCTTCCTTTGTTTCCTTTAAGGACACTTAAATCAACAGGATGTTTTAGAACAAAAACCCTCTTAGGATTCTTTTCCAAAAGCTATATGCCTGGTTCCACTTCAAATTCAAAAAAAAAAAAAAAAAAGAGTAAGAAAAAGGAGCTGAACAAAATTCAGATTTTCTTGAAGGTGCAAGGTTTCTGTAAGGCTTCATCAAATGGAAACCTCTTCCCTCATGTTACATATGAAGTTATTTGAAGTTATTTATGAAGTCACAGAATAATGAATAACCTATGCATAATTATCCACATTTTCAAAATCAACACAAAAAATACCTGCCTTAAGAAACAGGGTGAGGGAGTCTATGGGAAAGGCAAAGTACATTTTCTAAAGCTATGTGGAGAAAGTCTCCCTCTTTTATGTGAAACGATCGAGCTTTTAGAGGATTGTTCTCTCAATGTGTCTACTGAATTTGCTTTTACTCAGTCTTTTTACTCAGTCTTTAAAAGGTTGAAATCCTGGTATAAGTGTAAATTGAAACTCAATCACAACAGCACTGAGCATCTCCTTACTTCAACCCTTTATTCTGCTACCATAATTCAGCAGTAAGCACGCAGATTTCCTTATCACCCGGCCTGATCTAAATAAACACATTTCTGCTGCCTATATATGAAGGCAGAACACTAGGGAATTAGTTGCCCTCTCTTAGCACTCATAAAAAGAGTAAGGATCCTTGAAAAGACAGTATGAACAGAGTTGGCACTACTGCTGCCCACTGAATTTATATGCCACAGAAAACAGTTGCTCATACTTTTAATTCACAGACTTTTATACAACCTAAAAGTTATATTGCTTTGCCTTGACCGGAGTCTTAGAATAACTGGAGATACACCTAGAAATCCACATCACAACACACGTACTAAGATAACTGGTCAACTAGTCCCCTTTCAACTAAACCCAAGCTTCAATTCTTCTTTGCTGCTTAATCATAACCAATACAACCTTCTTTAAGAATGCAATCAGGCCCATTCTTCTCAAGGCAGCAAAACACAAGTGTGAAAACAGTCAATTCTGCCTAATGGTGATCTTGTAAGATTTACCAATGTATGTTCTATGACTAAACTGTATTCTGCAAAATGACCAAACTCAACCAGAGTTTGTGACCTCATCAGCAAGGCTCAGAAAAATTCATACACACTTGATTTTACTTTTTTTCCCCTACTTATAACTTTGAAAGTCCTACTTCCTCACAGCACGTGTCCTTAGCTAGTAACTAAATAGTACAGGTCAGCATACATCATTCCTGTGATGCTGAATTCAAACAAACCAAGAAATACTTTGGACAAGTCTGAGAGGAAACAGGAGCTTCTAATTTACCTGCTGTCACCTGCAGCACCAAAAGGCACCACAATCACCAGTAATAAATCTCTAGTCATTAAACATTTGACCAGCTTTCTGAAAGAACACTGCCAAAGGTCAAGTCAAATCCAAGGGGACTCTACACAAAAGATTCTTGCAGTAAAGGGACTGCAATTCTCAACTTAATGAGAAAGAGAAAGCTATCTGTCATATTTCGTACTATTTGCAACCTAGTAATACCAAAAACTAAAAAAGATAGCATGCCACACCACTGAACACTGCAGAAACACACCACAAGGCTGGCCTCTGTAATAGTTCTCTCCCTTCCCCCTCATTAGAAAACATCACACAGCACTGGGGACCCCTTTAATTCCAAAACCAGATAAGCTTCCTTTTTGCTCCTGCCTTTCCTAGTGTTACCTTAGTGATATTGCCCCTAATGACAGTACCAAAGCATAGCATGGAAGTGTTCATAAGCTTCCTGATAATTCCAGGTCAGTACAAATCTAAATTGGCAATGTTGCATGGTAAAGTCCTTGTAAGACAGCCTCTCTTAGCCAAACTGAAAATTTTGCAAGGGTACACACTACTGACAAGTGAAATAGGACATGGCAAGAGGTATAGAGGTATAAAAGTAAATATACACAATTACACACAGAAGCACTACCCCAGGAGTCACAAGCCCCAAAATATGACCAAGATTAGACTAATTTCCAGCCTATTTTTGAATTTATCCAAATAGCTTTGCATATCTTAAAATTTTAGCTACAGATTCAACTCAACCTGAAAGTCTTGTGGGTGACACTTTGTCTAACAACACATGTGAACCAACAAAAAAAGATGTCTACGTTCTTTATTCCACTTTGATATCTGTGACCAGAAAACTCACATGAAAACTAGTGAGGAGTTATATTTTGAGGTAAATTTACACCTGTGTAATCCTGATCCTTTTGCTGTTTCTATCCCATGTTTTATAACCCATAAAAACATTATCCAGTTAGATTCTACTTACCTTGAAGTCATTATTGTATCTACCATAGTTGACTCGGCCCATATTCTCTACCAAGACATCCATATTTGCTCCAGCCTTCCCAGTTATATTTATCATTAGTGATTTATCCCTTTCAAGGATGCCTTGAAGAACCTATATGAATTACATCGAAAGAAGAAAAAAAATGTTGAACCAACAAAACTCCATCATTTGTCTCTTCAAATTACATGAAGATAAAGTAGAGAAAGGAAACAAACAACCAAAAGTAAAGTATATATTTTCCTTTCCTCCTCTTGTATGCAAACACATACATACACAATCACACAAAAAGCAGGTTTGTCAGTATTTCTATTCCAGTACATCTAATGGATGTACTACTAGGCACATCGGCTGTATTCATCTAGCTGATGACATCTCTTTACTGAGTTAAATTATCTAAATCAACTTTTAGAATTCTAGTAGCTTTCGATTCACAAAAAGTTCACACATTTAACCTGGTGACTAAAAAGATTTTGCAAGTGTCAGAGATTAAAAGATTATTCATCTTCCATTTAAACTCACATCAATATTTAGCTTTATTTGTTCCCATTCTAACAACATCAGGAAAGAAGAACTTGACATGGTCATAATGGTGATGAGAATCAGCACTGATCACAAAACAATTAAAAAATGAACTATCAAAGTCCATGAATTACTATTAATTCTTATGAAGCAAGAACAAAACACTATTTAAGGAAAGAAAGGCAAAGTTTATATCCTGTACAATATACTTTTTTTTTTTTTTTTAATAAAATTCGTGATCAGAAGCCAGATTCATAATGTAAGATGTATGCTAGGGCTTCTACTCCCCCCAGATCCCTTCCCCTCTCCAAGGGGGAAAAAAAAATAAGTAAAACATCCTTAAAAACACTGTAGATAGACATTAAGTGTATATATCATTACTGCAGTTCAAAAGCTTGAAAGTAAGCCCTCTTCTTCTATCTTCTAGCTATTTTTTCAATGAAGTCATGAAATCTATATAAACATTCACATCCCAAATGTGGAAACAATTACACTTTCCTTAGAGGAGACAGATAAATACTCATATTTCCTGAAATATTAGGAACATTTAGTATGAATCTACAGTATACTTCTATACTTCTTTCATCTTATTAAATAATTTTATTTAATAAATTTGTTTGTGTTAAGATGTAGAAAAGAGAAAAAAAGGCAGATTGTATTCATCTATCTCATGAAGGCCACTCGTGGCAAAAATATATGCCAGCAAACAATGTTTACCCCATCCACGGAGACATAAGCACGATCATGGACTCCATTTAAAGGTGAAGACAGTTGTGTTGGCTCTGTACAGTTTTTTGGAAGCTTAGTTCTGTATAGTACGAAGCCAAAATACTAAGAAAAGAAAGAAAAATCCCCAGATTAATGAACCTAGTTATTCTGTAACTTCAATTCAGGTCAAGAATTAGACATATCCCACATTCCTGCCTACACACTCAGATTGAAACATCAACTTTCATTCACTTCAGATAGCATCTATCAGAGATACCAGCTTCAGATTAGAGTTCACTTTGACCTTTAAGTTATGGGTATAAATTCCAGTTTCCATTTTTTTTTTTAACTTGTTTCTTCAGTACATTTACATAACTTTAAAAGACAAGGGTCTTGGCTGCAAAGGCATTTCCTCAATAAAAATGGAAGTTAATGACTGACAGCATCATTTCTTCATTAAAATTGATTAAAATATTTGGAAAATCCCTTCATAACTGATTTTGTATAAGAAATTTCAAAGTGCACTTGTCAACTGACATATTCATCAGTTCAGTATTGTTTATTTCACAAATTATCTGCTTTACATCAGGAACATTTCAGAGTATTTTTTCATCGAGTTCCCCATCAGTAAAGAAAAAAGTATCAGTTGTTAGATATTTTTTCTCAGCACAAAAGTGAAACAAATTAAAACCAAGAAACAATCGTATTGTCAGTAGCCACAAAACCATTTATCTGGATTAGAGTATGACAGGAAGAAGAGAGAGTAAACCATTTCCAATCCACCATAATTACTACAATTACATTACATTTGTAACAAGGTGCCCAGAAAAATGAGAAAAAAAGAAAATAAGTGGACAGAACCTATGCAGCACCACTGGCTGCCCTCTCAGCTCTTTTCCTAAATAGGGTACTAACAGTGGGAAGGGCAGAGGATGAGAGAAGAGCCAACATCCAGCTAATATGTCCTACTAGCTGCAGTTTCTCTCACACCTCTTTCTATTAATGGCTTGGAAGGGAAAATTACAAGCTTTGAATCTTTACTTGACTAATGCCTTAGAAAATGTCATAGCCATCTGCTGAACTGCATACTCTCCCTTTTCTCCCTCCCACAGCTACCATCATCATCACATTCTCTCCACTTTTTATTACAGCTGCAGGCAGGCAATCAGCACTGATACTCCACTCTCTGTTAAATTCAGCACAGACATGATCAGGGAGCCATAAACCCTTAGTGGAAAAACAGAGTCACTCAGCAGCAAGGGAAAGATCTTTTACTCTGTGGAAGTCATCAAAATTGACAGGGAAACTGATGCAGCGAGACAGAACAGAGGAGAGAATGAGAGTCAGCAGAAGCCACAGAAAAATAATAAAAAAAAAATCCTATTTTAGCTAGTAGGGTGAATGCCTTTGGCAGGGGGTTGCAATTCCACAGGTTGTTCCTTTATCACATTCCCTTGACCCACCATACTTTTACTAAAAGAAAAAGATTAAAAATGAGTAGGGGGCCCACAAGTGTCAAATGGATTATATTTAACAACTCCAGGCTCCCTGACCTGCATGAAGAAAGCAGTGCTTCAGCCATTGTTTTCATTCTGATAGAGGAAATGAGAGGAAAATGAGGAAAAAAAGGAAAAAATACTGAAGAAAAAGGTTGTACAAGGTAAAAAAAAAATAATAATCTCACAAACATGAAAATCAGTATCAATCTTCAGGGAGAAGACAGATAAAGGAGAAAGCTGGGACACCAGATATATATCTACATTCATGAAAAGAGGAAAACCTTAGAACAGTGACAAATATGGAGAGGTCTCCTGTTCAAAAATCCTGAACACCTTTAAAACACTATTACTTCCTGTGCTGAGGTAAGTTATATGACACTGGACATACAGAAGCCATTCCACAGAGGGTTGTTCAGCTAAATTTGACAAAATGGCTGCAAATTACCTACCAAAGGAATCCTTACCTGCTTTATCTGAACAAAGGTTAGTGGGTAAGTGCTTTTCACTGGTCCAGCAGGTGACAGCCTGTCAAGAAACTCCACCACAGTGCCCACCTGCAGCACATAAAAAGCAGATACATGAATGTCAATGAAATTCAATCTACAGATAACACCTTGCCAGGTAGCTGCATCTCTCCAATAGGAAAGCAAAGAAATCCTAAGTCCTTACATCACCTTTACAGGCACATTAATAATACAATACAGTACATAGAACAGATGAAATCTGAAAAAAAAACAATGCACAAAATCATGTTTTAAAAATCCAGGCCCTTTAAATTTTCTATGCTTTTGTAAAAGTGACTCATTATTTAATGAGAACTAACCCATAAGTTTCTCCGTAACATTCTATAGTCAAACACTATAGCTCTGAACAACTAATAAAAAACAACTACATTATTGAATTTTTACTCCATTATACATTAAACTAAGGAAAGTACCACTGATTTCCAGCGACTTACTCTAGAATTATTCTGAGATAATTAGAAATAGAATTTGGTTCCATCAATAGTTATCCATGCTGAATTTACTCTATTTAGTCTTAAATGATTTTAGAAACCCTAAGGCTGTAATTTAGTGTCATACATGAGTAGATGGACTGATTTTAGTGAGACTGGCAGCAAGGTATAGGCTAGTCACATGGTGAAATACCTTGCTGAATAAGGATTTACGTATGTACAATTACATTGCCTTTTGTTGCCATCTGCAATTTCCTTTCGTGATTAGTTTTCTACTCATCTACAATTCTTTCTCAAAGTCCACTATTAATGTGATATGTTAGTCAAGATGCATACAATATGCCTAGTATCTTACAAACTCAAAAGTAATTTGTATTCATGTCCGTAGCTAAGCACCTTCACCGTGGCAAAAGACTGTCAAATGATAGCTTCCAAATTTTTGATGAAAGTAGCTTGCTTCTCTGTTTACTTAAGAACTTTACTTAAAATAACAATTTGTTTTCAAAGAGTAAAATTCCCCAAATGCTCAGCATCTGCAATGTTAAACTGTAATGCGGGACCCAGTAGGCCACAGGAGATTGAATCACTGGCATCTCTGCAGAGATGGTTATCTTTGCAGAGACACTGACAGAACTGATAAGATAGAACCGAGCAAAAACCCTACGAATGTTCATAGTCTAGGCCCCAGGCAGACAACGAAATTAAAAATGAACATAAGTGATGTTAACTTGCACACAGACACCTGAATGACCTACTAACTGGCAATGAGCGCTGCTTTGTGCCTTACTGAACTAAGTATTAGCTTGTTAAGGTGTCTGTCTCACTTTCTTTTAAGATCCTGCTATCAAGGGGGCTTCTGGTTTTCACATAGGTAGACCACATATGATTCATTTACATACTGGCTTGGTAGAAAGTCATTTCTTTGCAACTTTAATGGACTATTTTTCTTCACTTTATCACTCTTAAGTGTTCTGTACAGAAAAAAAAGTAAGATCTGGTTTTGCTGCAGGTTCTTAATGATTGCTACTTAGTGGACAATCAGTATCACAACAGAAATAGTAAATTAAAAAAAATTACAAACACTGTCAAGAATTTTTAAAAACAACCTGTAAAAACAAAATACAAAAACCCCACCAACAGATGACTAACAAATGACAGTAACACTTTTGGAACCTCCAGAGGAAGGTCTTCAAAGTGAAAGATTAAATATGAAAAAAACAAAATAGCTCCAACCAGCAGCATCCTGTTTGCTTAACCCATTTCTACCCTGCAACTCTGCCCCCAGCTCAAACATCTCTGCTGCTTGCTATCCTATTTGCTATTGCCTGAGCTCCCCACAGTCCAGTAACCATGTACAACTCCAGAACCTACCAGTTAGCAGGCTGCACTGCTGGGGCAGGCATTTCCTTGTAACCAAGCACTCCTTATTGCCCACCAAATGGTGACCAGAAACAACCACCTGCTCACAAGCCTGCACTGCCACCAGACACACTGCAGGTCATAGAATCATAGAATCACAGAATATCCTGAGTTGGAAGGGACCCATAAGGATCATCTAGTCCAACTCCTGGCACCACACAGATCTACCCAAAATTTTAGACCATGTGACTAAGCACACAGTCCAATCACTTCTTAAATTCAGATATGCTTGGTGCAGCGACTACTTCACTGGGGAGCCTGTTCCAGTGTGCAACACAACCCTCTCAGTGAAGAACCTCTTCCTGATGTCTAGCCTAAACCTCCCCTGCCTCAGCTTAACTATGACTCATTAATTTGCCTACAGAGAGAATGCTCCCCATGTTCTGGGTCTTAAACCCCATCTTCTTGCTCACATTTCTTGAGCGCGTCTACTGCCATTCTACCTTTGCCTGCACTCATTCCCCACCTTCAACACTTCTTTTCCACCTCTGCAACAAGCTTTTTCCTCATTGCCTGCTTACTTTCCTCTTCCATAGCAACGACAGCGTCCCCAGACATCTCTTAATGGATTTTATTACCTCCAGAATGATTCTTTAAAATCATTCAGTAGCTCTAGATGAACATCTGCCTGATCAGGGAATGGCAAAGCTCTAAAAAGCAGTTAGATGGGTATGGGCAAAGATCTCTTTTCCTCAAGTACATGTCTTAAGCAGCTGATCAGGTACTGAATTGTCACAGAGTATCTGGTGGAAAAATTTAGAGAGCAGCCTCCTCTGGTTTCACGAGTCTCCGTTCCCTCTTCCTTTCTGCAAAAGGGTCACAGGAGGTGGTTCACAGCAGTGGATTTGACCCTTTGCATAGCAGACTAACTGCTGAACCCCTACTGCACAATGAAACTTTCACATAGTGCCTATTATAGCACTGTCACAACGATATAGCAGGAAATATTACTATTATAGAATCATAGAATATTTTGATTTGGAAGGGACACCCAAACACCATGAATATTTTGAATATTTCCCTTCTGACATATTCAAGCTTCGTCAAACAACAAGGTGTGTCGGACCTTGTCACAGCAGTGTGAGAATGCATCATGGAGGTTTGTTCCATGTTGCAGTTTAACCAAACAGAGCAGTAAACAGCAGCTGCAGTTAAACAGTGGGTTTGCAGAGCAGAAAACAGCTTTCATCCCATTACACAATTCTAGAAGCTTTTGGTACAGATGGCAACATATGCACAGGCAATGATAGAAACCTCACACCTGTGAGTTTAGACATGCCATCTTGCTTCCTAGGACTGGTGGGTACAGAGTAACACACTACTCCTCAAACAATGAGGAAGTGTAGTAGGTGACAGTGTAGGAACAGGGCTTCCAGTGATAGCCAGGTCAAAGCTGTGATATTTGAGCAAGTCATTTGTCCTGGCTTCTCCTCTTTAAAGCAGGTTTCTGACCCAGCTGCCCTGCAGCTTTCTGTTCCTGAAGGCAGGAAAGAGAAAGTCTTTCCTGCAAAATTGGACAGCCCTATCTGAATGTCATAATCTGTGAGAAAGCAGAGAGTCAACATCTATTTGCAAGCCTCCTAAGTGTCTGCAACCCACGACAGCAGCAGAAGTGGCAGGTGCGTAGATAACAGCATATAATTAGTCACTACCAAATATAAGTCGGTTCACTGAAACCTCATACGGCAATCCTGGCCTAAAAGGTCTGAAGATACTCAGAGGTAGTTGAAAATGATATAGATCTGTGTCAGCTTCACTGGTGAATCACTTTTACAAAAAAAAAAGTTATTCCTGCCCACCACTTGAAGTAGGATGACTTGAAAAAGCCCATAAAGCCTTATCACTACCAAATTTTGCAACATTTCAGCTGCAGCGCATAACAGATCAGATATATCATTTACTGAAATGTCTGTCAAATTATCAGTACAAAATATAAATCAAAATGTTATGAAATACAGTATCCAGTACACCGACCACAGTAATCCACCATCTCAAAACAACTAGACTGCAAGCAGCAGAATGAATAAAGCCAAGTTCATACCTGTTTGTTTGTCTCTTCAATCCCCTAAACCACATTCTGCACTCACTGCAGGACACTAGTTGTCAACTATATTTCACAGAACCATTCATAGCACTAATTGATGGTGCTACGGACAAATCCCAGCTACTCATGTGCTGACCAGTTAACACCTCTGTTGTCAGATCTAACAAGATTGGGGATCTAACAAGGTTGGGGTCTGCACACTTTTCCCTTGACAGGAAGCTAATTTCTTTCAGTAGCTACGGATTTTCACAGATCCTGCAAGAAACTATATTGAAAAGAGTTTCAAACGTATTGAAAGTGTTCCACACTTCAAATTTACAATTCAAAGTATTTACCTAAAAGATACATATATCCTACCCATTTATTCACCCTTAGAGGCATCTCTAGCTACAGAAACATACCTCTTGTGCTACCATTTCCCCAGCTATTTTACAAACAAGAGTTTTCAGACAACTATGATTCTCTTATGTTAAGAATATATTCATTTCAGTTCAGTAAAACTTCACATATATACAGAATATAGTAAAAATTATGTTATCTGAATATAAAAAGATATCTATTCATTTTCCATGAAGGGCATGATTTTTAATTCCCAAGCTCTGTTCTCTCCTTCCTGACAGTTTGTTTTCAAGGTTTTCCTTCCTATTTTGTACGGTACCTAGAGACTGCCATGATAAACAATTTTTGCAAAGAAGCAAACATGCAGCATTACAGAAAGATATACTTTGCATATTACAGATGTTGATTTACCTTTTGCAAGTGAATCTTCCCATATGCAAATTTGGATGTTGTTGGAGGGATAATACCTTCTGGTAACTGGTTATACTAGAAATGGAAGGAGGAAAAAATGCACATGAAACTTAAATATGAACATGTTTTAAATGAATTCTCATTTTCTACTTTACAATTTACAGAAGTAGAACTTTAGATAGAAGTAGATAATCTCACTAGTGGATTACACCTGCATCTAGCCTCAAAAGTAAGTTTAAAAAAATTCACCTTAGTTGTTCATATCTAGTAAGCTTCATTTTTTAGTAAATACTCACCTAGAGGTAACCATAAATTAAAAACAGCAGCGTAGGTAAGGAGCTGCAAAGAATCAGTGTTCTTGGAGCCCTCCTGTGGCTACAGCTTGCATTACCATCTCCTACAGCCCCATCCCAAGTCATCCCCAAGTCAATGGGAGCTTGAGTTAATGTTTCCAAGTCTGTAGGGCAATATTTCCACCTGACCCTTCCGTCTTCCTGTAGTGGCACTTCCATAAGGGAATTATTAGCTTTGTGTGGCTTTTTTCAGTGTTATACTCCATGCACAGCGTGTGCACACGTACCTGCTAATCCATTACTACCTAGGCTGATTTCTTTTAGAATTGCTTGCAAAAAACTCACAGCCAGCAGAAAACAACTTTGCTAGCAGCTACCAGGCTGCTGGGGCACCCACTACTCCCCAGTAGCTCAGAACACTAAAATAAGGAGGCTGTAGAAAAATTCAGAATAAGACAGTCTTAATAGCTTCAAGTTGCTATCCTCACATGCCATATAAACCACAGCCAGTTTGTCAAACTGACCCATTCATTCAGTTATGCTTCACTTGCCATGGGCCCTCAGGGGACATACTGAACTGCTGCAGCCTTTACCCCATGCAGTACACCCCTCCATGCTGCCATAATCCTGGTACTGGATCCTGCATTGGCAAGCAATACATTTGACAGCCTCAGTTTATAGAATTTACCACCTCTCACCCCACCTGTATGCATCCATCTGATGCACTCCTCTCATCCCAGGTTCTGGTGCCCCCATCAGCTTTCCAGGCTGCAGAGCTCCACATCAGCTTAGACAGCAGACGTGGTCCCACCTTGCCTTTGCCTGTATTCACATATTCTCCCCCACAGCCAGCCATCAACAGACCTATTTGCCAGGCTGTTTCAGAATGCTAGCCCAGCAGGAAGCTATTGCAGAAACAAAAATATGGAAGTGATTTAAAAAAAAAAAAAAATGAGTCCAGGGAGACCTGAAGCCTCAAAACCTATAGCAGCAGGCAACCATAGCCTCCCCCACAGCTCCACAAACCCATGAGGAAACCTCTGTAGCTTCCCTCTGGTGCTGGACTAGACAACTACTTGTCTACTTGTGTTTACTGCGTGCCCTCCGGCTCTGGCAATAACCACCGGAGATCAGCTTACTGCATTTCTAGAGAGAGGAGGGGCAAAGGATGACCATTGCTTTCTCGGACACTTCTAAGCGGAGGCAAAGGAGGCAAATACAGACAAGAACTCTCTGATATGTACCCCAGTCCCCTCCTTTTTGAGCCTACAGCCTTCTTACCTTCTTCTCATACTGTCCCTTTCTCCCTTTCCTCCCACTATTTGTTCCTTGCTTTATGCCTACTCTTCCTATATATTATTACATTTACTAAAGGGTCACTTTCAAGTTAAAATCAAAGTTTTTTCATGAAGTGTAATTTGCTGGGCTTAGACGTGGTATATCCAGCACAAAACTCATGCTCTAAAGCTTGCCTCTGCACCAAGACAACTTTTTGTTTAGTTATTTTATTTTTTTAAAAAAATAACTGCAGTATAATTCCCAATGCCCTCATGCCAAATCTCAATTACGAACTGATGAAAGCCTGACTGATATTTCTGGCAACAGGTTTACTTCTTCCTCTCTGTATTTGAAAATAATCAAAACAGTCTTCTTAAAAAAAAATATATTCACCCAAGACAAGAAATCAAAAGTAGAAAATTACAGCCCAAATGGTAAAAAATAGAAAATGCTGCAGCAATTGAAACAGTGTTTGTTTTGTTTTTTTTTTTTGATTGAAAGCCTTCTTTATTACATTTACTACCCAAAAGAAACAGTTAAGGAAGATTCAAGTGAGCTAGTCTTGTAGCACTACTAACATTCTGAATGCAGCGATTAGTTACAGGCAACTTCATTTTCTTTTGTCAGCTTCACCTCAAACTACAGAGTTAATAGACTATTTATTATGGGTTGAGAAGCCACAGCATAGACAGGAAAGCTTCACCAAGATCCTATGGATATTGAAGGCTAAAAGATAAAGAAACCACACCAAAAAAAGCCGTACCATGACCCAACACACCTTAGTTTACGCTGAACACTTCGGATCTTATCAAAGCTATCTCATTGCACTAGAACAGTACTTAAATTTCTGATAGGGATCTTGCCTTGCAGAAAACAACTCAAAAACAGGAAGTTTGGGAATTCTTCTCTTGAGAAAAGCTGCCTCAAGACACTATGTTCCCCTTGAAAGGATCTCAAAATTACCCCATGAATGGAAAGCTTAGGGATAATGGAGACATGGTAGAAAATACTCCACAGCAGGCCTTCTACAGGTAGGGAGATAAAGGTATGCTTTACCCTCGAAACAGTGTAACAATTTCAGGAGACCTACTCCCATCAAAAGGGTATCTCCTAGTGCACATGAATGTTTTTGACATGCAAAAGGGCAAAAGGTATAAGAGTTAGCCTTGAGATTCCCAGGGACTTTTTTTAAGCCTTATCTGAACAGTGTCGAATGCAAGTCTCTTCAAAATCCAGATAGAATTGCCATATTTCACTTCAAATGCCAGTTTGTAGAAATACCACCCACTTCAAAGCATTTTTACAGCAAAGTCGGTACCACCCATAATCTACCATTTGTGGCATCACAAAAGCAAGATGTGTTCATTTGGATAAGCATGCTCCTTCTTATAGAGACGCAGAAACACAACATGAAGCATATGACAGGCAGCCAAAGATCAAAACTGCAGCACTACCAAGCTGACACCAAGTGACCAGCCTGAGCTGAGTAACTGTTCAATCCTGCAAGGGGAAAGCCCTGCTCAGTCCTCCTCCATCTCTACTCTCAGACATATGCTTCCTGTGTCCCTCTGCTCCCCTTCTGCCAGCACTGGTTCTCATCTGATCAAGTAAGGCAATTCAGCTTACTGACCTCAAATTGAAAGAATACAAACCCAGCAATAAAGCAGAGTTGAATCATCTCAGTGTCAGACTTGCAACTGGATCCCTTCCTCTGAAAAGGAGGGAGCCTTTGGGACAGTAGGGAAAACCAGAGAGGTGCAAGATCTCCCCCACTCCTTTTTTTTAAACAGCAAACAGTTGAGTTGGCCTAACCACCTTGTGCCAATTTACTTCCTTTACCTACAGAGAACAGTAAATCCAGAAGCAAATGAAAACAACACAAGAGCAAGTGTTTGCAGTACACCCAGAATGTTTCAAAGAACCACTCTAAGCATAACCTTGGAACACTCACCATACCAATGACTTCCCTCAAGGCAAAATATTTTTCAGTCAGATCCCCTGCTTCACTCAGTGGAGCATCATAGTCATAACTAGTGGGCTGTGGCATATAAGGCATATTAGCACCTAAGAGAGGTGGGTAAAAAAGCAATAAAAATGGTGAAAAGGTTGTGGTTGTCATTGTTTTCTCTCTCCAAGGGGTTCAACTTTCAGAATTCAATCCAGTCACAACCGGACTGTACCACATTTTTAGATTCAAAGTAGACTTTGGCACTTGAGATTCAGCATAGAGAATATATTCCCTGTGGAAGACAACATCCTTCTGAGCTCACACTACTGTGTTACACAGGCTCCAGAAATATTCTGGAGAGAAACAAATGCATTCACCTTTCAAGTGTTTCACAGTATTGAGTAAAGCAGAAGTACCCTTTGCAAAGGTAAATACCATGCCAGTTTATTAGAACATGCTGGCAACAGACAGAGAACTGCTAATGCAGTCATCTTTTGCCATGTGAAAGCAGACATAGCTTATTCTTTTACAGAATATGTTACTATCTAACACATAATCAGTTCCCCTATATCATCAGAATCATTTAAATTATTTCTTACCATTCCAATAGGCAAAGTTAGTTCCACCTATAAACATGTACCTAAAAACAAACAAACAAAAAAAAGCCATCCAATTAAATCTGGTTTTGCTGAATTGGGAAAAAAAATTCTTTCCCCAAATTATCATCTACTGAACACACACTTACAGGTTAACATTAGCACCACATGCCAGGATTTCATTAAGTGTTTTAGCTATGGTTTGTGCAGGCACAACAGAATGACGGTGCCCCCAGTGATCCAACCATCCAGTATAAAACTCAGAATTAACCTGAAAGGAGGAAGGGCAAAAAAGGAAGGGAGAACATGAAGAGGAAACAAGAACAATGTGACTTAGTTACTAATTGTAATGGAAGGAAAAAGGTACCTTGACTCATTTTAGACGTTTTTAAATTATAATAAATATAGCAGAGTATACATTAAAATCAGTCCTTTTCAGAAGATAACTCAAAGAGAATAGAGAATCATTTAAATAATTTTATGTGTACACTTTGAAAATGATTGCTTAAGTACCAGAGAGTACGTATTTCCTTAGAACCCATCAAACTGAATGTGTTGACGCTAAATGCCAAACTTAGATGTTTGGCACAAAAAATAAATGATGGAAGGAATATGTCCTCTTTAGATTAATATATGTAGACCAGATATAACGTAAAATAAATCTTTCAAACACTGAAACTCTGTTCTAAATAATTTCACAGCACAAAGATAAGCTTGTACCCTCACAGTCCTTCTACCTTTGTGAAAATGTCTTCCAGTGATCTCACATCCCATTATAGCTTGTGTAGAAACTCTAGAGTAGCTGAAAACAGGAAGCAACTTCTAACCTGCCCTTTTAATTTGTCTTTTAACTTCCACCCACACATGTAGCTGACTAACTCACATCTAATCATACGTACTGTTTCCGCTGCTTTGTAAACATTTGTCTTAGCAAGGAAAAATACTGAAAATTAGTATCTTCTAAGACTATACTAATATTTGCAGAACAGCAGTTAATGTGGATTTGACCTACACACAGAAAAGCTCTTCAGTTCAGTTTTCTGACTGACATGGAAATGACATCTTTGTAATTATGTCCTTAAGAAACTGTCCACTATTGCCAACTTCTCTATTATTAGCCACTAAGATTAGGAATGATAAAAGAATTTAAGTGAAAAGACATACCAAAGGGCCTGTAGGTTCACTGCTCCTTTGAGCTAGGAATGCTGCTGTGACATTGCCACCTATTAACAGATGGAAGTAAAATTGAGTTGCTACATCCATGACTTTTGCAGTCCTCATTTTACTGAAATAGGTTTCTCATCTCCCTTCCAACACCTAGCAAAAAGAGAGACAAGAACCTTACTTCAGAAAATACAGGAATCTATACACTTGATTCTAGTGCTCAAGTTGCAGAACTTAGTTAAAATATATACATAAATGCATACATGACGAGGCCCTGGGCAACCTGATCTAGCAGGTGGCATCCCTACCCATGACAGGGGGTTGGAACTTTAAGGTCCCTTCCAAACCCAGCTATTCTATCATATCATCTATGACATATGCAAGCATGCACACACATCTCCGCTTTTAAGACACATCCTCTGAAAACCCAACTCTTCTGAGAAATGACATCCTGACAACATAAAACTGAGATGTGACAGAATTTCCAATTAGACATTGGAAACTATAGGCCTGGGCTTGTGGAAGCAAGATGACGGGAAAGAACAAAAGCTAGGCAGTCCGTAAGGAGGAATTTCACCTCTGAGCAACCCTACAGGCTCAAGCACAGGGACTTGAAATTACTTCCATGATCAGCTCGTCATCTCATAAATGATATACATGAAGGAGTTTCAATCAAATAAATTTCAATCCATTTATAAGAAAATGGATTCCTACTAGATATTATCTTTGACTGTAGAGAGAATAATGCACATTAGAAGCCACAAGACAAAAAAGAAAAAAATTATCTTGGGGTTTGTTTCTTGTGCCTTAAGCCTATTTTTCAAGTCTGTGCAGTATATGAATGCCCACAGCATTTGCTCTCCTGTTCTATCAAATGGGCACTTTCTGAACACACTGTGGTTGCCTGGCCATTCTTCAGGCCTGTATCACTGTAAATTACAGCAGTGTGCACATTTCTGATTAATTTTTTGGTAACAAACAGCTGTCTCCAACCTGGAGCAAAGTCCACTGTTGCGTAAAAACCCTGAAGAGCTCCACATCTCAAGTAAAGCTGGCTTGCACCATCCGTTGTGAACAGTACCACCTCATCCCCAAGATGCTGGCGAAAGAGCTTCTGAAGGAAACGTAGATAATCATAGTCGCAAGCAAAGTAGCTTCCATACTCATTCTCTACCTGCACAGAGAAAGCAAGTCAGTAAAGCAGTAGCCAATTTAAGTCTGCATCCAACTCCAAAAAAAGGCCAAATCCACCCCTCCTCTTCCTTTGATAGCAATGCTGAAAATGCCACTTGAATTCCAGACCTGAAGAATAACAAAAGGGAATACTTGTAGGCACTCATTCATCTCACCCGTATCTTACTGTGTCACTGTGTGGAAGTAATTTTCCTACAAAATCAGCTTTCAACTCCACATAAAATATCTACCCTAACTAACTACTTTGCAACAGTAATCAAAGAATAGTCCCTATTCAAAATGAAGAGCTATGACCTACCTCCCAAAGAGAGCAATAAAAGCATAGAACAGATCTTATAACATGATAAAAACTGCAATGGAACTGGACTTCCATAGCAGAGATATATGAATAAAGCTCTGCAACAGACTCAAAAGACTGATGGGAAAAAGACAACCTTGCTGCTAATGAGAGGTACATATCATAGAATCATAGAATCATAGAATATCCTGAGTTGGAAGGGACCCTTAAGGATCATCAAGTCCAACTCTTGACACCGCACAGGTCTACCCAAAAGTTCAGACCATGTGACTAAGCGCACAGTCCAATCTCTTCTTAAATTCAGTCAGGCTCGGTGCAGTGACCACTTCCCTGGGGAGCCTGTTCCAGTGTGCAACCACTCTCTCTGTGAAGAACTTCCTCCTGATGTCAAGCCTAAACTTCCCCTGCTTCAGCTTAACCCCGTTCCCGCGGGTCCTGTCGCTAGTGTTAATGGAGAAAAGGTCTCCTGCCTCTCGACACCCCCTTACGAGGAAGTTGTAGACTGCGATGAGGTCTCCCCTCAGCCTCCTCTTCTCCAGGCTGAACAGGCCCAGTGCCCTCAGCCGTTCCTCGTACGTCTTCCCCTCCAGGCCTTTCACCATCTTCGTAGCCCTCCTCTGGACACTCTCCAACAGTTTCATGTCCTTTTTATACTGTGGTGCCCAGAACTGCGCACAGTACTCAAGGTGAGGCCGCACCAGCGCAGAGTAGAGCGGGACAATCACCTCCCTCGACCTACTAGCGATGCCGTGCTTGATGCACCCCAGGACACGGTTGGCCCTCCTGGCTGCCAGGGCACACTGCTGGCTCATATTGAACTTGCTGTCTACCACGACCCCCAGATCCCTCTCTTCTAGGCTGCTCTCCAGCGTCTCATCGCCCAGTCTGTACGTGCAGCCATGGTTTCACCGTCCCAGGTGCAGGACCCGGCACTTGCTCTTATTGAACTTCATGCGGTTGGTTATTGCCCAGCTCTCCAACCTATCCAGATCCCTCTGCAAGGCCTTTCCACCCTCATTCGAGTCCACAACTCCTCCAAGTTTGGTGTCATCGGCAAACTTGCTCAAAATACCTTCTATTCCTACATCCAGATCGTTTATAAAAATATTGAAAAGTACATATCCTGCCCCTTTCTTAAGGGGATTGCCTTTCAAGCTCCAGATCCAATGCCACACACACCTGAATGCTATTTCTGAAACTTCTGTTATAAACATCTTATTTCCAACTCAATGCTTTCACTGAATAGAGATAACACATTATTCAAGAACAATCATCTTAGAAAAAATTTTAAGAAGAGTCTCCTTCTTAAGAAGAGTCTTTGAGCAAGACAGGGAGTTTAAAATGAAAATCACAAAGCTTTTGTTAAGGCGAAAATGCTAAGAAAGAAAATGGAAAAAATCACCACTGCCTATCTAGGAGTTTAAAAGAAACTACCCACCTCGAATGCACAGCACTGTGTCCTGAAATATTTACATCTCAAGTTATGTGCTAACTGAAAAGCCTAAATTTTTAAACTGTTCTTGTAACAAGTTTTAGGCTTATTTCATACTGGTTTGCTTCTATCTGCAGCAAGCCCTCCTGTCAGAGGGTTTCACATAACTAATATATTTTGGCTTTATGTGAGAACTGGCATAGGAATCACATCTTAAAAACTCCACAAGTTACCTCTATTGCTTTCTGTAATTGTGGGAAGCAACTTTGACAGAGCAGACAAGTGCACTCTGAATTCTACAGACTGTGCATTCAGTTCTTCAGGATAAGGGATTCCATTGAATCTTGCAGCTACCTGAAGCTGCTAAGGAACTTCTGTGTACATTACTACCCAATATCCATGAAACATCCAGAAGAGCAATATAAGCATCTGTGCTGATCAGGTTTATTTGATTTTCGTAAAGGGGAGTTTCATAAATCCCCTTTTACCTGCACCATGATGATTGGACCTCCGTTTTGATAGAGGTGAGGCTTCATCTTTGGCAAAAGGACACTCATCCATTTCTCTACTGCTGCCAGGTAATCTGTAATACAGAAAGTATAAATGGTTCATTATTTTTCTACTTCTTTACATTTTGTTGTTGTTGTTGTTATTGTTTTATTGTATAAGGGTACTTTTTTACCAAGTAAAATGCATAAATATAAATTTCTGATACACTTAATGTATTTAGAACATCATTTAATGAACTGATGTGCTCTTACACTTGTTCAAAAGTGTCACCTTCCAATACAGTTTACTAAATAATAAAACATTTAAATACTGATGAACTTTGAAAATAACCAGAAAGACTTCAATGTCATCACACAAGTTGTCCTAATGCATTTCAACAAATGCTACATCTGTACTACTCTTTTAAACAGATAATTTCTCCCACAATGAGCAGAAGTGAAGTCAGGTACAGTATGGATCTATGTCTTTGACCCCTTATTCTCTCCCCAGTAACCACATTAATATCCTGTCTCATCTTATCTTCACACATCCTGTCCATGACCAGGTAGCACATAAGAGTGTTCTAACTAGCTCTGGAATTACATGCACACTGACCAGGCAGGAAGAACCCTGCAAAGAGGAGCCAGCTGACTGCTGAAAAATTGAAAAACTCAAAGCTGAGAGTTACCTGCCTTTTCTTCAATGGTAACAATATGTATCTCATTACCAATTTTACAAAACTTGTTTAATATATTTGAAACATGAAAGTTTTGAAGTTTGATTGAAACTGATGGTTATTTCAGAAGTTCTTCAAAAAAGGTCTGGAAAGGGAGGAATGAAGAAGCAGAATGCATTATTTGTACATTCATTTTCTTGGCAAATCAACTGCTGAGAAAGCACTGGGTCTAGGATAAGAAGCATCTACAAGAACCTGAAGGACTAAGTCCTACAATTCTGTAATCACAGAAGATGCATGATTTTCAACCCTGTTTTGTTTATTCCACCTATTTATTGAACACACAATTTTTAGTAACAATCTTGAAATATTAATTACCTGGAAATAACCTCAAACAGCAAGTCAGCTTGCTGCTGAATTATATTTTTGCCAGTCCTTTCTGATGCTCTTACCTGTATCAGAAGACCTGAGAACAATAGATTCTTTCTCCAAAAGCCATGCTGGAAGACCTCCCTGGGAAAAAAAAATCAAATTTCAGTGATTGTTTTTAGGATATAAGAAGAATTCAACATGTTTTCAAAACATGTACTGAAACTGAAGATTTGTTTTACATAAGCAAGTCATAATTTCCCATGGAACAGCACAACTACTAAGCTGCATTGTAAAAAGTCACTTAGGACATGTGGGTTTAAATACGCTAAACCAGGAGTCTTGTCTAGGACACAAGTATGTTTGTCTACTTTAAGACAGAAATACTTGCATTAGATTTGCTCTAGAAACAAGATAGTTGTAACAACATAGTTGTAACAAAAGGCTGTACCATATCCCATTCTGCACAGATGTAAGGTCCAGCTCTCAGGATCACCAGCAAGCCAGTTTCATCAGCAAGCTGCAGGAAATATTCCAGATCTCTGTCACCAGAGAAATCATACACACCCATCTGGGATTCATGGTAGTTCCATGGCACATACCTATAGAAAGAGAACATCATTTTCCATTAAGAAACTAAGACTAAACCAGAACTCCAAATAATTATTTGCACTACACGCCCCAGGAATCTATAAACCTGGTCCAAACTGGTCTTCAGATCAGTATAATACAAAAAGAATTCTAGAGTACTTCCTGTGGCAGAAGGTATTAAAATGAATAATAAAATAAGGCTTATTACTCTGCACTAAGTCTGGAGGAGTCCATATCCATCCAAGAAAACATTTTGGTACCACCATTTTGAAATCATAACATCTATTCCAAAATTTAAGTAGTTAAGAGTCAGCTGCCAGTAATATAGTGGCAGTAGATTTGCACAGAGATGAATACTCACACAAGCGGTGGTTAGAAATAAGCTTACAGAAAGAATCATGCAGCCCTTAGCAAATTTAGCACACAGTGTACAAGGGCACACCAGCTTGGCTGGCAGGTTCATACTGTTGCCAGTACACAGACCTTCAAAATGTGTAAGCCTCAAATGATACTACATCTAGGTCCTAAAAGTCTTCACTGACCCAACGCAATGCAGGTTCTGGAAAAACAGCATGGGATGAATGGTTGTAGAAGAGGATACAAAAGTGCTTGGAAACCTGGACAAACTTGAGCCTCATTTCAACCAAGTAATAAAACTGCCAAATAAGCAGATCAGGATTTGAGAAAACACTTCTTCCCTATTTCCAGGACTCCAGAAACCACAACCTCAATGCAGAATATCTCTCAGAAGATAAAAATACTCTCAGCTGCAAGATAATAAAGAAATATGTTACCTAACAACTATTAGGAGTACTGTTGTATCTTATAGCCCTTGCAGAAGGGCAATGAGAGATTTGCCTTAGGAAAGTGCTAAGTGGCAGTCATAGCAGGGACGGACATTAAAATTAAGGTTGGATACAGCTTAAATAAGGATTCGAGAGAACAGGAAAACTCATTCTCCATGCATTTACTTTCTGCACCTAGGTTCGTGACCCCTCTAATTGGACTGGTGCTGCTGCTCCATACAGTGCAGACTTGAGAAAAATTTCTAAAACCAAAACTGTGGTTAGTCAAGCAAAGAACCTCTTGAGCAACACTTTTCTTATTGTTTAGGTTTGTTTTTAGGTTCCAGAGTTAATTTTGTAAGAACTACCCAAGAGGAAAAGAAAGTGCAGAAAACACAGCTTTCAACAATTAAGAAAAACAGGAACCCTCACATGAACACAATATTGAAAACACCACACTCAGAAATACATACACATGAACAAATACAAAAAAAAAAAAAAAAAAAAAGCTTCAATATATCATTAACATTAGTTAATATTTCCTCACAAATGCCAGAACCTATTTCTTCGCCAATCTAATTGTTTCCAAACTACTAAATTAACTCACTTTTTTTTTCAGAACAAAGTAAATGTGCACAAACCACATGAAAATACATTCAACATTAATTTGGTTTTGTGCAATTTACCAAGATTTCAAGCAGAGGAGCAAGCTGATTGGCGATGTTTTAAATCAAAGTAGATTATTATTTAAAACAAATGACCAACTTACCTCAAAAAAATCTAGTACCATGGAGTATCATATTATACTTACTTTCCCTTTCCATTATACCATTATCTAGGTTATCACCATGGGATAATTTTGGTTTGCTTTCAGCTCTAATAGCTATGTTATTTTCAAAACCATTGCTTTGAAATACAAAATTCTTCTGTACTACCTATATATGCTTCATAATACTGTCTTTCTTACAAAGCAGAAAAAGAGAAGTGAGAAAATATTCTAAAAAATTACAGGCCAACCTAACTCCATGCCTAGGAAATATGCCAGAAAAGCTACTGAATGATTTGTATCTAAAAATTAACAGTGATGTGGTAAACAAAACGGATTTGTGGAGAACAGATAAACTTAATTTAATTCTTTCAAAAGAAAGTTGGCCTAAATGATTAAGTAAAAGGAGTGATGTATCTTGACTTAGCAATGCTTTTGGTACCTGCTGTATGATGTTCCTATAAGCAAACAAGAAAAAGACAGGCTAGTTGGTATGAACATTAGCATCAAATAAAAAATAACCACATAATAACAACAGACTTTTTTTTTTTTTTTTTTTTTTAGGGGGAGTGGGCAGGGCAGGAAGAGGAATCGGATATTTGGTGGAGTATGACAAGTCTCTTTGGTAGGTTTAACTACATCCAAAGCTTCTGTTGAAATCTGGCTGGTATAATGCACAGTGTTTTGCTAAGAAGCAAAGGCAGAGCAATCTCAAGTCCATCAGCAAACATGACTAATGTTTATTATTCATTAATGAGCAACAAGGCCTGCTATCAACAAGAACTTTAGAGTTACCACTTTCTACTTAGACAAAAGTATAAAATGAGAAGGAAGACATAGGGCAGTGACACTAATAGGAAAAAGGAGTTGCAGTTTTTACCATAAAATACCATCTGACAATGAATCTTTGTCAACACTGCAATAGAGATAAATCTCTATCTGGGTTGAATTAACATGCCTGTTTATATAGCAACTCATTCACTGAAAATGCTTCTAGCAGAGCTGCACCTGTTTTAGCTAAATAAAGACAAGTAGGTATTAACTTCATTACAAGTTTTGCACCAATTAAAAGACTTCTACAGAAAGACAGCAATTCTTTATACACTTTTCAGGCTACTGAACAAGTTATTTATTACTGGTAAGTAAATTATGGGTTAACACAAAAGTATTCTAACTGCACTTTAACTACACCTTTTAAACTGTAATTCATGAAAATACAGGAAAATTTTTAGGAGTTTATCGTAGTAACAAGCCTCAAGGTCTAAATATGCCCAATGGTGGCTGAGATGGAAACAGAAGGGATTCTCAAGCTCCCTTACACTCAATATGGAATAAAACAGAAAATTATTCCAGAAATAGTTTTAATGCATGACCCATGCTGTCTCACAAAGACAGAAAAAAAGGCAAATTTTAGTGGAGAAGAAAGTGGAGAAGAATTTATGTGAAACGCTACAGAACGAACTGTGATATGAACGCATCTCAGAGACTGTTTTAAAAATTGTTACTAATACATTTAAATCCTTTGATATATTTTCTACAGCTAGCTATGACCTCAAATCATTTCACTTCAAAACTTTTAGTTTTAGCAACATATAATTCCTATATACCATCGTAGAAATGTATTGTCAGTTCCTAATAATGTACTGCAATAGCCACAGAATTATGAATTTATAAAGGAATGTGGCATTCCTTTTTCATAACTGAAACAGTATTTTTTCATTTGAGTAATAGCACTTGCTCTCCATTTACATACAATTTCTAAGCTTTATCCTATAATCACCTTTCTCTTTAAAAGTCACAGGTTTTTCTCCTGTGTTTCAGAGATATGTCAACAGACAAAAAATACCACTTTTGCTACCATAGAGTATAGTAAATTTATCTCTGTAATACCTGTGGGTTTGTTTCCACATTGTGTAAAATTAAATACTGGGTACTAATTTCATAAGTAATAAAGCAGCACTTTAAATATACTAGTTAAATTAAACATTTTTATAGATTAAATTGTGTTTTGTTTTTTTTTTAATGAGCAGACATTCTAAACAGCAGCTCTTTCTTAGAGAAAGTTTCTAGATATTTAGTTTCTTGGTTGTTAGTCAACAAATACGGTAAAACAAATAAAATGCCCAAAATTCTTCCATAACTTTGTAAGCCTGTAAAGTAACTGCCGATTTTTGCAGAAACCATCTCCATTTTCCAGTCCTGTAAATGCTTAGCTCCATCTAGTGGTTCATTATTGATCTCTTCCATGAAGAACAAGAGAAAGATTTTTCCAATAGTGTCTGTTTCTAGTTGGCAGATCACAGTTCAGGAACTGAACAAAAGGACATTTGGGTAGCCAGGTGCCTCTGCATGCTACCTGCAGAGATGGGGAAGGGAATTCCTAGGTGCAATACCTCTTCTTCTGAAATGTCACATCAAGCACAGCATCATATTTTATCCTGCTATTTGGAAGGTTTAGGACTTGATACTTTCAGCTTTGAGTAAGGTCAAGCTTCCTGTCACCTGTTTTCTCATATTCTGTTATTGCTTAAGATGTTTGGGTCCAGAGGAGGGCCTCAAGGATGATCAGAGGGCAGGAGCATCTCTATTATGAATTAAGCTGACAGAGTTGGGGTTGTTCAGCCTGGAGAAAAGGCAGCTCTGGGGAGACCTTACAGCAGCCTTCTAGTACAAAAGGGGGCCTACAAGAAAAATGGAGACGGACTCTTTATCAGGGAGTATAGTGATAGGACAAAGGCTTTAAAATATTTTTTTTAAAGTAGACTTAGACTAGATATAAGGAAGAAGTTCTTCACTGTGAGTGTGGTGAGACACTGAGACAGTGTTATAAATGAAAATACAACTCAATCTGAAATTAGTAATATTTGTAAAAGGCAAGTAAACAGTGCTGGGTGCACGGGGAGTCTATGCTCTACCAACACGCACACACTAACATTGAACTTTCTAAATATACAGAGCATTGCTTTTACATATTAAACCCAAGTACGCCTATACATATCTACAATCAGAAAAGGTAACAATCAATCCTGTAAGTCTATTACTATTAATGTCCATGACTGGGGAGCATAGTTGGAGTTGGTAATCCTGGCTGAAGTGCTCCCACATCTTCCAAGACTTTACAGTCTCTATATTCCATTCCTTTTCTTGATTATAAACACCGGAGAATTCCAGGGCTAGTCGTGTGAACAATATGTGTCCCTTTAAGTTGTCAAGCAACTCGGCCTTCGGGCCTTATGTATCCTCTTCTTCCCGGATCAAAGGGAAAAACATCTTTTCAAGGCCAATAGGCCTGGGTCAAAAGGCATGTCCAGGTCACCAGGGGACAGAACAGCAAAGGCCTGCAATGGCAGTTGCGGTGGGGGCGTGGGGGATTGGGGGGGGGGAGGCAGCAATGGTGTAGCAGAAGGATGAGTAAAGGAGCCCGCAGCTCCCTCACTAGCTGGCTAACCACACGTTTGTG